GAAGGTAAGAGTTCGATGATACGTGTAGATAACAAACGCTCGGTCGGGACGACACACCTAGCTCCACACTACCAGGTGAATTAATAGATGCACATTGATGAGGCCCGTCAACAGTGGGAGCTCATACTTCACGTTCATGAGAATCATTGGTTTCGTAGAGTAAGTTATTCGAAATTCAGCCGCGAAGAAGGTTTTCTCGGTGAGCGGGATAGGCAGTCTTTCAGTATTTCTGCTGATGGGTCACCGTTGAATTGTAGATTCAAGTAAAGTTTTTGGGAGCAGAAAGTGAACGCGGTTTTGGTGGTTTAGGCCTCATAGATTTTGTGATGAGACGTTCTGGGTAGTCATTTTTCAGGAGGATTCTCTTTAGATTGTTTAGCTCCTCTTCCATAGTATCTGGGTTGCAAATGCTGCGAGTTCTGTGGCTCAGTGAACGAATCAGGTTTCTTTTTGTATGTAGGGGCACTCAACTGTGAAAGTTAGTAACCAGTCCGTTCCATATCGGCATTCCGTAGATGAATCTTTTTAGTGTTCAACCTTGTCCACGTCTTGTTAATTGGACGTCAAGAAACAATATTTTTGTGTTGGATAGCTTCTTTAGTGTGAGCTGAATTGCTGGATGGCAGCTGTTGGAAACGTCCAAGATGTTCTCTAAATTCTTCTTATTGTTAGAGACAAGGAAAGTGTTGTTCATGTATCTCTTGTGAAACCCATAGTTGTCGATCATTTTCTTTAGATTTGTGTTTTCTAGTTTTGACATGGATAAGTGTGCAAGCGACCAGCCAAGTGGTGATCCCATAGTTATGCCATCTTTTTGATGAGGTCAACAGTGGGAGTTTATTCTTGACGTTCATGAGAATCATTGGTTTCGTAGAGAAAGTTATTCGAAGTTCAGCCGCGAAGATGGTTATCGTGAGTGAGCGGGATAGGCAACCTTTCAGTATTTCTGCTGATGAATTTCCGTTGAATTGTAGATTCAAGTAGAGTTTTTAGGAGCAGAAAGACCTTATAATGCGAACATTAGCAGCTCTAGTATTTTAAGCTAAAAACATGACTATCATCCTTACTTGAAATGATTCAACATAATAAACCCATACTTTGTAAAGAGCACAAAGAGTTAAGGCTTTATTCTCTTCATTTTCTTAATTAGCTTTTATCGACAAAGAAAAACGTATTTTGGATTTTGTCTTGTAAATGTGTGATATTTAATCATAATTTTCTTTCGAAAACGATAAAAAACGAAACATTGAATTAGAAACAAAAAATTCCCCCCTCCACACACACACACACACACACTAATCGAATATCGTAAGTTAGAGTTAGTGTGAATGAAACTAAACATAACTAAGAAGGAACAGTTGCCAAAATCCAAAAAAACAACACAAGCTACTTAGTTTCACCATATAAAAATACTACTACTACTACTAATACTACTACTACTACTACTACTAATAGTAATAATCAATTTATACGACAACGAAAATAGTAATGTGACGGTTTACATAATAGAAATTGATCAACGTTGCGTGTAGTAGCGCCTTCAACGAAGGTGAATTGATACATAAATACTACTGGAATAAGTAATGGTGGTATATTACTGTATAAAATCTGGTAGGTAAATAAGACACAATACAGTAGTCAAATAGTCAAAATAAAACAACTAAAATATCTCACAACAAAAAGAGGAAGGTGAAAATGCACCTTATCGACATCTGCCCTTGAACTTTAATCAACATTAACGGACCATGGGACAAATAAATGAAACTTATAACCGCCTAGACTACTAGCTTGCTAGTTTTCTCGCCGTCCCAAGCCCGGGTAAAGAGGAAGGGTTGGGGCGTGGTGCTAGCGACTCCACCCCCAAAACAACCAAATCGCTAAAGAAACTTCAACGAATAAATATATTAAAAATTCTAAAAATATAAACAGTAACCTTATTTTTAGCTGGAATCGGGGAAGTGAAATGACGCAGGCTGGTGAAAGCTAGCCTTCGGGAAGCCAGTCAGCCGATGTGGCTGCTTTCGATGAAAGCAAAAATAAGGATGGGGACGTGGAATGTTCGTACAATGTACGAAGCCAGCTGGAAAGGCTGTCCAGATAGCCGCAGAAATGAGGAGATATAGAATAGAAGTGTTGGGAATCTGCGAAAGCAGATGGAACGGATGTGGAAGGTGCCAACTATCAACTGGAGAGACAGTTATATATTCCGGTTACCCAGAGGACAACCACAAGCACACCGAGGGAGTGGCCATCATGATGTCACCAACAGCAAGCAAAGCTCTCATGCAGTGGGAACCAATCTCCTCCAGGATAATGACAGCCAGATGGAATGCCCCCTGAAGCACTGAAAGCGACCCAGAAACTACAGCAGACATGCTGACTCCATTATTGCAAAAGGTCTGAAAGGAGGGAAAGGTGCCTACTGACTGGAGGAAGGTTACCTCGTGAAACTACCAAAGAAGAGCGACTTAGGCCCCACTCTGCAAGAACTGGAGAGGAATCATGCTACTGCCAACGCCAAGTAAAATCCTGAGTCGCATCATCCTGGACAGAATAAAGGACGCGCTGGATACAGAACTCCGACCAGAACAAGTTGGATTCAGGAAAGGCGAATCATGTTCCGACCAGAACGCAACTCTACGCATCATCATCACAGAACAAAGCATGGAATGGAAATCAAACCTGTACCTCAACTTTATAGACTTTGAGAAGGCTTTCGACAGCGTAGCGTTGACCGCGAAGTGATTTGGAAACTACTCGAGTACTACAGCGTAACCCGAACATTCATCAACCTTATTCAACAGCTGTACGACAACGGAACATGTCAAGTGATCCACAACGGAAAACTCACTCATCGTGGCGTTTGGAGTAAACACAGGAGTCAGACAAGGGTGCCGGCTTATTATCGCCAATGATATTCCTAATTGTGGATTATGCGTCAGACAGTGGGAAACGAGAAACGGGACAGGGATATCCTGCACCCAGCGACGTGAAGAACCTAGAAGACCTGGATTTCGCGCGTACATGATTTATGTTTGATGTCACACACACAAAATCGAAGACTTACAAGCGAGCGAAAACCGACAAACTGGTCGAAGAAGCAGCCGGCGAAGACAGGACTCCAGGTGAACATAGACAAGACGGAGGTTATGAAGATAACCAACGAAAAACAACAACAACAACAGCAAAAACATCCAGCGCCAGTCGCCATCAACGGGAGGGATTTACCAGAGGTTACTTCATTCACTCACTTATCTAGGGAGCATTGTCTCAACTACAGGCAGTCGGAAGGGACGAGGATGTCAAATCGAGCGAGAGTCGGGAAGGCGAGAGACACATTCATCAACCTGAAACCAATCTGGAAATCTTCGTCACTCACTCAGAATCAACAACAAAATTCGTCGGATTTTCAATACAAACGTAAAGTCAGTCAGTTCTTCTATACGGATCAGAAACTTGGCGGGCAGGCGGGTCACAAAGAATATTTCCAACAGCCTGTTTCAGACCTTTATCAACAACTAACTGTCTTCGCTGGATCTATACTGAAGATCAGATGGCCGGGCCGGAAAGAATCACCAACAAGAAACTATGACTGGGAACAAACAAAGCAAGAACCAATCGCCAACCAACAAATATGCAGGAGAAAGTGTAGATGGATTGGACAATCACTGATGAGGTCGCTGGTGACATCGCACGCGCGTCAGGTCATAGCTCGAGTGGAACCAGGCCGAAAGGGAAGCGGCGAGTGGGACGTCAGTGCAAGGGTGACATGGAGGAGATCGTGTGGAGAGGAGTTGAAAGAGTATGGACTAACATGGATTCAGGTGAAAAGTACGGCAGAAGGAAGACAGAAGCAAGTGGAGACGTGTTCCACTAGGAACCCAAGGGAACAATAATAGTGATACCAACAAGGCAGTGTGATAAACGCGCACAGACTATAGGTTCGGTTCACAGCCCAACCTGATATAAAAGTAGCTTCAAATTGAAGTATGCGCTGAAGATGTCACCCAGTAGGGCGATGAAAGCTTCGCAAACTAACCATCCAGCTCAGAGAAGAAAACCACATCAAAAGTAGCTGTATCTTTGATTAGAAACTAGTTAGTAACTAGTGTAATATGTTTAATCCTTATTTTGGTGCTGACTGAACTCTGTCAGTTAAATTTGCAATATGGCCATGATGCTAGGTGACGTGCCATTACGGTGGACCTAGCACGAAGCCTACGTCAATTGCTTCCCGCCAGTTGTTATACTACTTTCCTAACTTTCTAAGCTTGTTCAGCATATCTTAATATTTTTTACTATTGTATTTGCGTCGGTGGTTCCGCGGTAGAAAACTTGCAAGTCAACCGTGTGATCTAAGGCTCAGTGCCCACACGACACACCTTTCTTAGCCATCAGTAAGAACAGTAGAGAAGGAGGGCTTGGCATGGGGTTATCCTATAGCAAAATAAATACCACTGCTATTGAAACTCCAAAGCCGAAACTTGAAGGTAAATAATTATATACTTCAACTATTGTTTTTTTTCAAGTATTGGTTTTGTAGGGAATTTTGTTTGATTGGTTGCAAGATTTCACATCATGAGCTGACATCAGTTAGAAAACCATGGGAAAACCAGCTGGGAGTACTGGACAGCTGTCTTGCCCTAGTTTGGGACTCCTCATCAGTACGTGGCCATCGAGATTTGAAACCAGGACCTTCTGGTTATAAGGCGAGTTCATAGACCATTAAAGCCACTGGACCATTAGGTCGGGGCTTAAACAACACGTCTCTTCAACTGTTTCTACTATTGCTCATAATCTCTCATGTTCTCCCCTCACGATCCAGTCCATGTCACTTTCGGACCCAACTCCACTCGTCATTTTCCATTAGGGTTTCGCTCAAATGATCGCCTGATGGGTGATGTCACTCGATGGTCTTTTCAGTGTGTCTCCGATCCCTCTCCATTTTCCCCAGCATATTTCTTATATATTTATAATGTGTTTGAAAAAAGAATGCTTACTGGGAGCAAAGCGATTGGACCCGTCGGTAAAAACCTCTGCCATGCAACAGATTCTTCATTAACCTGAACAATGCAAATAAAGACAAACGTATATATTTGAAAAAAAGAAAAGAAAAGAAAGAACGCATTTTTAAAAATGCACAATATTTTAAAAGCATTTCATACTTAATGAGAATTAATTTAAATCTATACACATTTGCATAATAGTTAACAGTCTGCTTTTCAATTAAATGTGTAATGCTTAAAAGTAGGAATCAATATAGAGAATGCAGCTATTCATGAAAATGCAGGTAAATGTGCATATGATTAACTAACTTTTATTGCACATCGACCAGATAACATTGAAGAAAACAAAATAATAATAGTAATTTATAACATCCTTGATATACTTAAAGATGGATAGGTGTACCACACTTTTATATAGATATTTTTCTCTCACAAAGTACCATTCATGAAATGTGAATACTTAAGTTGACGGAAAATGCTGAATTCAAGCAACTGAAGCACGTGTATTGAATGATTCTCAAGGAATGAAGAGTGCATCAGCATAATTCAGCCATTTACAACTGAGTAAATGGAAGCTGTAATTGCTAATTATGCGCATAGTACTTCAGGCATTGCAAATAGTATGATAAAATTGTATTATCAATGTAGGCTTGCGAACCAGGATGGCAACAAGGCGTGAGTACATCTGCGATATTGTCTGAGATATTCAGCTCTACTCTCAAAAGTCTCCAAACAGTGATCCTTAGCATCTCAAGGACCCAGGCTTACACAGTCTATACCAACTTATATGGTACACAGAAACAGTCAACCACTTCATAGAGTGTAGCATTGTTACGGTTTGATCACCTATAACTCTTTCCGATCTAATCTAATCCTAAATCAGCTAAAATTGGTCATCGAGGAGGGCGAAGACTCAGCATGCATATCGATTGACTTACCCTCCCCGTACATAACACAGAGCACAACCTCATTACTTAATGACTATATTGAAGCACCTAAGAAAGAGATGGATAGAACAAAGACATGTCAAGTCAGAGACAGCTAGACTCGTCCACATCCATCCAAAAGCCGTTGACAGCTGTAAAGCTGCACCTCCAGAGTCCTCTTGCTTTCCATTGTCACAGATTAGACACTGTTTACACAATCTCGGCTTCGGTGCTGTTATTTCATCACCTATCAATTAACACACAGCAGTCGATTCAATCAAACGGTCTGTAGGACATCCTAACGTTGAATTCTGTTTTCCAATAATTTTTTATATACTTGAGACAGAAATATCATATCATACAAAGTCAAAAACTGATAACAGACAAATCCAGTAACCATATTAATGGATCAATGAAACTAAAAATTAAAAGCCAATATTGATTTCATTAGTAAAAACATTAATCTAGAAATACCACCTAAAGAAATTGATATATATATATATATATATATATATATATATATAAATCAATATTTATGACTGTGATGTCTTAACAGAATAAAATGTACTAACTGAAAATATTGACAGAAAAATTTCACATAAACACTCATAGGATACAGTACATCTGCATAAATTAAACGTTATACTACGCAAGCTTAAAAAAATGTGGCTCACTAGCGAAATGCTGAACTATTTAGCATTTGAAACGATAGATGCTGAGTTCCAGTCTCACTAAAAGCAGCATTGCTAACTGGGGTGTAGGTGCATTCAGATGACGAGTCCTAAATAGGATGGAACATGCAACCCGGGCCCCTCTGAAAGCCACCAACAATCAAATAACTATAAATATTAGTCGTGATGTGTGTGTGTGGCTCACCGGGTTAAGCACTCAAGTGTCAGGCGATCGACTCGGGTTCGTATCCCCCACTTGGTACATCTCTCAGCCTGGGTAGTATCATCAGCTCTCACAAAATAAATGTGGTTCAAGGCCTGGTGGCATATAAAGAACCTGTTCCCGGTTATTGATTTGTAACTAACAAATACCCCTAACCACATACCAAGGTAGTTAGTTAGCGTTCAATGAAATCAACCACGATGTCTGTAATTTCTCTTATCCAATTATTACTTGTATTAATACTATGTTTGTGAATTGGTGATTTTAACCCAACTTTATGTGTTTATATTTGATCAGTCATTTATCATAACTTTCATAGTACGTTACGTAACTGGCCAATATTTTCATAATGATGCTAAACCTTTCTGATCCTAATTCTCTCTGCTACGTCTTGATTTATTTAGTTTTGTGATATGAGTATTAATTTTCTGTTTTGAACATTTTGATTCCCAACCAATAGCTGAAATGCTCATGCAATTATCAGCCTTGCATATCGCAGTGACCCAGAGAGTTACACCGGCGTGAACGAATGCCAAAAAAGTCGTTCAGATAGCGGTTGGGCCAAAAGCAGTTACCATCTAGTGTAAATCTCTCGTACTAGTATAAAGGTCTGAGGGCGAAGTCGTGCAGCTGAAAAATAGGGACGTAACAGGAGTAAAGTGTTCCCGTACGACGACCAAAATGACAGCTACAATGCTTCTATACTCTGTGGAGGAGGTGTTAGAAAAGCTCAACCCCGAGAATTATATATTGTAGCGGTCCACAGCGGATGGTAAGATTTCCATACAGACACAACTCCGAAAACCAGTTCAAATAGGCCGTGTGTGACTGACCTCAAGCAGCCATCTCCAAGGCTCTGAAGTCACGCAGAACTACAGCACTTTCTGTTTCAGGTACCGCGAGGAATATCAATTTACACGGTATGTGCACGCGGGGACTAACAACCACACACAAACTTCGGCGAGTACACAAAGCTAATCTGATCAACACTCAACTTCACCTCTTTAATTTCCTGTCACTTTTGATACAACCCCACAGATATAATAACAGAACTTGTGCACTGTGGTAGACTACTATTTCCCTATGGACAAAATTAAATTTGTTAGAGTCTAACAGATTAAAGTTTTAATATGTAAATTGCCATTGCTTTTGCACTCTGAAGAAGTTCGATTCGTACTCTCTTAGCAAGATTCCCACGTATTCTATAGATAAATTTGGAGTTACTTTCTATATTGCCTTGGTGTCCAGATTCCATCAAATTTTCCAGAATAAATCTATGGCAGTGGACCTTTTTTCTCCTCTATAAAGCGATGAAGGTTAGAGTTCGATGATACGTGTAGATAACAAACGCTCGGTCGGGACGACACACCTAGCTCCACACTACCAGGTGAATTAATAGATGCACATTGATGAGGCCCGTCAACAGTGGGAGCTCATACTTCACGTCCATGAGAATCATTGGTTTCGTAGAGTAAGTTATTCGAAATTCAGCCGCGAAGAAGGTTTTCTCGAGTGAGCGGGATAGGCAGTCTTTCAGTATTTCTGCTGATGGGTCACCGTTGAATTGTAGATTCAAGTAAAGTTTTTGGGAGCAGAAAGTGAACGCGGTTTTGGTGGTTTAGGCCTCATAGATTTTGTGATGAGACGTTCTGGAAAGTCATTTTTCAGGAGGATTCTCTTTAGATTGTTTAGCTCCTCTTCCATAGTATCTGGGTCGCAAATGCTGCGAGTTCTGTGGCTCAGTGAACGAATCAGGTTTCTTTTTGTATATAGGGGCACTAAACTGTGAAAGTTAGTAACTAGTCCGTTCCATATCGGCATTCCGTAGATGAATCTTTTTAGTGTTCAACCTTGTCCACGTCTTGTTAATTGGACGTGAAGAAACAATATTTTTGTGTTGGATAGCTTCTTTAGTGTGAGCTGAATTGCTGATGGCAGCTGTTGGAAAAGTCCAAGATGTTCTCTAAATTCTTCTTATTGTTAGAGACAAGGAAAGTGTTGTTCATGTATCTCTTGTGAAACCCATAGTTGTCGATCATTTTCTTTAGATTTGTGTTTTCTAGTTTTGACATGGATAAGTGTGCAAGCAACCAACCAAGTGATGAACCCATAGTTATGCCATGTCTTTATTGATACATTTCGTTGTTGAAAGAGAATCGCACGTTTAGAGGGCATCTCAATAGGAGTTCCTTCAAATGTTCATAGGGTATACCAACGTTCCTTTCCTTTGAATCAATATTTACACATATATAGCATACAGTTTCACTTAGTGGAGAATCTGTAGACAATGACATCAAATCTACTTAGAACATGGTTGGATTGGAAACATTAACGTTTTCAATGTAATTGACAAAATCGAAGGAATCTCGAAGTGAGTGGCTGGAAATTTGCCTTCTGACTGGTTCTAGTAGGTCTATTAGCCATTTGGGCATTGCAATGATATAGTGAATTAGTCATATCGAGAATGGGTCGAAGAGGTATGTTTTCCTTATGCACTTTCGGTAATCCATAAAGTCTGGGTGTATTTGAGCCAGACAGCCTCAGCGATTCGAAGGTTTCAGCAGAGGTAACCAATTCAGCATGTATATACCTCACTCACCTGTTTTAAGCGTAACGTTGCTACTATGGCTTTCTGACTGTGATTCCAGCCTATTGTATGTATATTAGCTGTTTTGCGAACAATTGAATTGAATCCGTCTGCTCCAATCTATAAATTAAACAAAAAAAATAAGAAGACATGATGGATTTATTGATTTTTGTACAAAATATTACTAAATTTCTTATAATTACGCATTTCTCCAATGATTGTTTACACACAATGATGAAGTTTGTGATTATTATTACTATTGGTAATTATTTAGAATAAAATTACTACCTACTATGATCACACCGACAGTTATTGACTCAGAATAACTGTCAACAACATGAAACATACTTCTGGATACAAGAAACGTCCAATACAAAATAAAGACGTTTATTTGTATAAAAAACATGGCGTTTTTTTATCATGCTTATTATCGAAAATTGCATCATTCTTCATCATTGTTATTATGACTAGCGGCACATTTCTGTCGTCCTATTGACAAACTATCATGATTAACTTATATTTAGTGTTTATTTGAAAAGTTGTCTGGTACATATCGGAGTAAAGCCAGGCGGTATCTAAGCGAAAACAATATTGTCCGCTAACATGAGTTGTTTGTTCTGTGTGAATTTTTCCTCTAAGTTGGCTAATTTTGCAAAAAACATTAACTATCCTGTGTACCTGTACAGTTAAGATGAGGATATCAGAAACGTTTTCTTGGAATGTTAAAAACAGTTGACACAAAAATAACACAAGTACACCATAGAAAATTTAAAGAAATGAAGTTTACCAATACACATTACTCATGAGTAGTAAAGCCTACAAAGTACAAAACGTTTAACGAATAATATGAGGACTGGTATATATTTTAGAGTAGAGCCAGAGATGAGGATCTAATTGAGAAGTAAATATTCCTTCCCTCAATCTTTCTCTTTTCTAAAAATAAGAGAAGCAATTTAAAGAGCATAGATCAAAAAATGTTGCCTAGTGAATAAGCAATACCCTTTGGAGATGTAATCTGTTTGTTGGCTTCAGTGTCTACAAGTCATGGCAGGTGACTGACTTATCGAAATACCCTCCCGTAGCCTAAGGGTAGCAACAAATAAAGACAGATTTAACAAATCATTATTCCCTTGGATTCTGAGTGAAACACAGAGATTCAACAATACGTGTCCATCTTGTTCTGTTCTTTGTAGAACTCTTTGGCTGGCCCCACAACTGCTCATAGTTTCTCACCTCCCCCCGGCACCATCTCCTCCATGTCACACTCAGCCCACAGCCAACTCGTTGTTCCCCATTCGGGTTACACACAAGTGATGGCTTGTCGTACTACATCACCCGGTAGCCTCCTCAACGTGCGTCCGATACATCTACGTTTTCTTCAAAGTATTTATTGAGCAACAGCTTCTTGATCGGTTCGCTCAGAGTCATTTGTTGCTAGTTCTTTCAGGCTACCTGATAATCAGTATGGAGCTGTTAGAAAAGGTTTTCGTGACGCGAGAGAGCCATTTTTCTCATCCTTATAAGTGAAGTCACCGACTTAATATTAGTGCTGAAAAGCAGAATTTTGTTTTTTATGCTCTAATGGAGTGCAGAAGATTTCCAAACTGATTTCAAAGTGATGGAGGTCTGTCTCGCCTTTCCTATTCTGCCTGACATTGAAATTCTCACCTGTGCAGTGTGCTAATTGAAGAAAGTGACCCTTTTCAAGCTGCTTCCATTGATAGTGATTGGTGCTTCCTGGTGTTGATTCGCTAGTTATCTTATTTTTTATTATTTTTATTTTTGATTACAGCTTGATTCCACACTGTATTTTGGTACAAGTGTGGAATTTTCAGCGTGGATATCGGTAGCCCAAAATTCGCAGGCCGACCGTAGATACCAGGTGTGCGTCGGCATGGGCTCGAACCCCGGACCATGTGCATAGTCAGCGAGAGTCCTAACCACTGTGCCACCGACGCACAGTGGCTCTGTGTTCACCTGAAGTCCTGTATTTCCTGTCTGCCTCTTCTTCCAACTTGTTGGTTTTTGCTAGTAAGTCTTCGAGTTTGTGTGATATTAGACATATATCATCCGCAAAATACAGATCCTCTAGGATCTTCTTGTCAGTCTAGCGTGTTACTGTTTTCTTCGCTCACCACGGTCTGACGCATAACTCGAGTCCACCACAATCAAGAATATCATCGGTTATAGTAGATAGTCTTGTCTTACTATACTCTGTCTTCACTTGAATGGCCTCATGGAGTTTTCCATTGTGGATCCCTTGACATATGTGATTGTCTTTCAGCTTTTGAATAAGGCTGATAAAGATTTGTGGCATTCCATATTGCTAAAATAGTTTCAACTTACTTCGCGGTCAACGGTGTCGAAGGCCTTTTCAAACAGTATGAATAAAACTATGACATAATTTCGGATAGAACCTCAGAACAGACAAATTGAAGTGTGTTTAACGACAACAACTTAATGGTGAAACAAGTGTACTTCAAGATAAGCTGTCAGTATTTAAATGCACCACACAACAATCTACTTTTAACTACTAAACTAATACCCAAGTATCACAGTCAATAAATGACCTTAAAGCTGGGAAATGACCGAAAAAAACTACTTGAAATAAAGAAGCGATGAATTTACGAAAAATTTTAACGGAATATACTCAGCATATCGGTGCAAATATGTGTATTAGAACGCTTTATCTAGCTCGTACCACTAAGTACAGAAATTCTACAATACCCTATTTAGCCCGTACTTTATGTGACGAAGATGTGAAACACATATACTAAGTAATTAGCACATTGAATCGACCCTTTCATTGTTCATCTTTCTGTATTTTATGGTGTCGCACTTTCTATCGTTTAATCATAACTCTGCTGTTTTATTTTGGTCGTTATTACTATTACTACTACAATTTTATGCTTTATGCATATTTTTCTCCGTATTGCATACAGTATTTTGCTATGTAGCTGCTATAAAATTCGTTTTATTATTATTATGATGTAATGTGTATTTTTAATTTTTTTTTGTCGTTTTTGAGTAATTTAGATGCAATATTGTACTGAATGCTGAAAATTCCTTGCTGTATCATTAGTACTGTTTTTGGAATAAAGCAAAAAAAATTATTATTATCCTTATTCATTTTTTCCAAGCCGGAATACAGTGAACTAAGCAAAATCACTGAATAATTGCATTTCTCAGGTTGTGATTAACACTTGAATGCAACTATTATCCCACATTTTTAAATAATCAAGTTTACGATTGAAGAAGATGCTAACTTGATACAAACTTCCAAATGTATACTGTGTATAGGTATAGTCTATTGGAGGTAGACGGACAAAATAACTGTTGTAATTACGTCTAGTGAAAACATGAGAACAAGAAAGTTCAGCGAAGAGTCCCTTTTCGGCGAATTCATTCACTTAACTGTACAACAGCACTTATACATATAATTATTTTGGTTGGGCGTATACTGAACATATAGTCAACACTGGTCACTCAGTATGCACGGAGAATTCATTCAAAGTCATCTACAAAGTCAAAAGAAGCCTCCTGAAAACTGTAAGCTCCCACATACTTTGCATTGCGGAGGTGTAAGCGATTCAGATGGCAAACCCTGATTTATGCACACAGAAAAAACTTCTCCACCCACTCCGTCTACCTTGGGTATAATACCAAGTCATACGACCTTGTTAATAAGGTTAAAACAATTCCAACAGTGGTGTGAACACGGGCAGTAATTTTGCTCGAAATATTACCAATAACAAAACTTATCATTGTGTGTAAACTATTAAAATATAATTATACTTTATTTTGTTTTCTTCTTTGTTTTTTGATCTTTTGTTTGGCATCTGAGTAACAGCTTCTTCTTGACCACCGCTTTATTTACTCTTTCTGCCTATTACGTAATTCATGTTTTGAACACATGTCTCCATTGACATCCTACTTCATATTACGCCACCTTTGTCAATACTTACCAATCTTCATCCGCCCCTACCCAACCCTAGTTACAATTTTGGCTATTCATCACATTTAACAAACATTTTGATGACGTAAACAGCAGTCCTGATTAATTTTTGTTCTACTTTTGTTTAACAATCCTAGTGTACACACACACACACACACACACACACACGAATGCAAAATAATTAAGCATAAATGTGACTGTACAGTTAAGTGAATGAATTCGCCGAAAAGGGACACTTCGCTAAACTCTGTTGTTCTTAGATTCATGTCTGGATGGGTATTTTGCGTGAACTAACGAGAACAGTTGTGTGTTAGTCACTTGTTGTAAGTATATTATGTGGGTATCTGAAAACCGTCTTTCAGCGGGAATTTGTACAGATACAGTTTAACCAAATGGACATGAATAATGTAAAAATAGAAAAAAAACTGAAGTTATTTTAATTTGTGAGAAACAGTTGACATTTGAAAACTTTCCTACTATTTTACACAAATTAGACAGACTAAGCCTACGAAAAATCTAATACAACATTGGATTTGCTTGCTACACACTTGAGTGGTATGCAAACACTGGTAAAAATTAAAAAAATAATGCATCTGAACCACAAAACATATCATCAAATAAAGTTTTAAAATATTAACATACCAATAAATCTGTCTCAACAGTTTCACACTTCTCTTGGGTTTTCTGTTCAACATCCAGTAGAACCAACTGTTCTGGGTGATTTGGTGAGGGTAGTTGAATATTTTTAGCTTGTGCTTCATACAGTATAGTCAGGTTTGTAGAGTTCTGTACGGAGTCCAAATACTTGCGGAGCGATTCAATCACCAGACTGTTTTCTACAATATATGCCAAAGGATCACGACAGAATGTCAGGTGAAAATTTGACTTTGTCTCCCATACCTACATTTTGAAATGGAGTGTACACAATAAAGAGGTCAGACCAATGAATTATATTTATGTATCCATATATCATGATATTCGGAGCTAACCGGAATCAGTCTTCTTGTGTTAATCTGTTCGGATGACGTGATAATAATCCACTGGTTTTTACTAACTTTTGGTTTTAGGCTATTAACAGCCTTTACAGATGTGTCTACTGCTGTCTCCTCAGGAGTCTAGTCGTCAATCTTAGATGGTACGCATTTAGATATTACTTCTTTAAATAGGGACTCAGTTTCCTGATCGAGTTGAGGGTGTAACTTCTTTGCTGCCAACAGTTTTTTATCTCCCATTAATCGTAAGCATAAACGTGTGTGAACCAGGGTGTGATCGAAGTCGAAGAAGGAGCGGCAGTCTTCAACTTTCGCCAACGACACCCTATCATTATGTGGTCTGTTTGAGTCCAACGGTGATTTACTGATGGAGGCGGCCAGATTAGGCAATGTCTCTTTTTGTGCCTAAAGTTAACGCTGACTAGGAAAAGATTATTTGTGGAGGCAGTTAAAATCAATAGCAGAAATCTGAATGGAATGGAGTTCGATGACCCACTCCAAATCATAGAAAAAATAATAAATAATAAAAATGTGAATTTCCATCAACAATTTGACAGGATGTAATATAGGATTACAGTTTTTGGCGATAATAATTAAGGTACATTATTGACTTATAGAAACATACAGCCGCATACTTTTACTGTGATATGAGCCACATTTCATTGTCACGGTTTAGTTTTATGCCTCAGTGTAGAGAAGTATATGGAGTTAGGTTTAATATCGAGACTTAGGGCTTTGTATTCGATTAAAGGACTTTGTAATTCAAGATTTTGTACCAGCGCATACAACCGTGTGAGGTAACTGTGGTGTCTACAGACGTATTGAACGACTTTTACCTTAGAAATTTCGATATATTGATGTATCCATATCAACCGTAATTGTAAGGATTGATCTATTAATAGCGCAATTGCGGGAAAAAAAGTTATCCATGAAACATAAATGAATGCGACTTGTCAAACATTTGAAAATAAATAAGAGATTGTGAGAGATAGTAAAACTAATTAGCGAACCGAATCACAGTAATTACACGAGCGTTAGATTTATCACCATCTGCACAAAACCGAGTTATACATCGATCAACGGTAACTCCAAAAATTAGAATCCAATTTGAAGATCTGCTGAGTCTAATGGACTTCAATGTTTATTACTCTGTCGGACCTACTTCTGCAGTTGGCTTTACAGACCATGCAACTCAAATCTACAGTTTTGTAAATGAAAAAAATGTATGCACGATTGATGTAAGCTTCTTTCCTTTCCAAAAGTTACTATAATGCTCACAAACACTCATGCGTCAGTTATGAATATGCATCCACTTGCTTGGTAGATGGTGCTAGATTCAATTTGCGTACAATCTATCGAAAAAGAAAACGCAAAACTCCCCGAGAATATGAGAAAACTAAAGAAATTTCAGAATCTAACTTACTTTCATTTTATTTACAGGTTGTGCGCGATGCGACCGAATAAATTCCCATGCTCCAATATCTAGAAGACAATTACGTGAACCCCAAAATTGGTTTAGTATACTTACTATTAAGCATGTTAACAGAGAGGTCATTAAGGGCGACAACACGATTTTCATACTCCTCCTTATATTGATAAGTATTCTTCGGAGAACTCTCTAGTAACAGGATACTTTTTTTGCCTAGTAGTTTAGAATTTGCTGCAGAAGGTAAACAAGACAAATTATAAAACGTTTAGATTTACCCGCCACAGCAGCGAGACCAAATCCGACCATTCCACCTCCAACAATTACTGCATCATACTTTGTGGCCAATTTCGTAGCGCTGTAGTTGCGTAAGCATTGACTCAGAAATGTGGGACGAATTTGGAAGAGCATTAATTCAGTAGCTGATTACATGAGTGTAAAACGGATAGAAGTCATAAGTTTTACTGCCCAAAAGTCACTGGGTATGGTTAAAAGAGGCGTAATATAGCATAATGAAACTACCATAGTGAAGAGAATATAAAGCAATCTGCTACATAGTCGATAATAGTTAAAGAATTTCAGTTTCCACAAAAAGCATTTATAGACACCAAAGCCAGTTAATTAGTCGTCCATATGCATTATTAACTCATAAAGTAAACCTATAGATACTCGACAAAGCTCAAAGTGGAACTAGTTTTCATCTACAAACAGTTGTTGTTAATATAAATGATATCTACATTAAATGTTATGCGGAACTAAAAGCAAGCATTGTTGACAAAATATCCTTGGAGGCTTTGTAAGTTTTATTGCCATGCGCTTACAAGCTTCGGTAAGTCATTACTAAAGTGTATGTGTGCATCAGTTGAAACATGCATAAAATAAGAGAACACACAGTTATACTAGAAGATAAAAACGTAGATGCGAAGAGTTTTCAAGACATTTTAGAATCTGGATGACAAGAAGAATTAATACATCTGCACCACTGTGAACGATTTTTATTAATGCTAACAAGTTTCTAATCATTGATTCCGAGCTTTTCAAGATACCTAGTCATCTTTTATATCTGTTAGACGACGTGCTTCAGCCATAAAGTAAGACGGTATCGATGATGACGTAAATTGGCGAATTTAAGCGAGCGTACACTATTCATGGTCAGATTTAATTTGTGATCTGTCTATTAGGATTGAAGCAGTTTCCCAGACAAGCTAAATACAATACATTTAAGCAGTCCTCCCCACCACCACCACCACCACCCCTATCAATGTAGGAGTCGGTAGAGACCAGTTATGTAGCAAGATCTTTCGTTCAGTAGTTGTAAATAATATGCTAAGGATACTCAGATATTTTCTCAGCATCTAAAACCTCGGTGTGTTCATCAAAAGAGACTTTATTAATTGCACTAACACTTCCAAAAAGTATTCAAAGACTCTTCTACGACTTTATGAGTTGAATGCATACGTTAGGTTGGCATGATGTACCTTACTGGAATTCTATTCACAGTTAGGCATTAGCATAAAACCCATAAATCAAAAATCAAAGGAAATCATAAGGACAGGAAATATTTATTCATTTATTTATTTAAACGCATAAAAAACTTGGTACAATATGGCACCAAGAAAGATGCGCCACACAATAATAATAAAACAACATAGATCAAAAAAAAAAGGAAGGAAAAGAAAAAAATATATATATAAGTAGAGAACGGATAAAGAACTTCATCTGGAAGGAAAACAGTCATGCTTAACAAGTTCAAACAGTGTTCGTTAGCTATCATCGGGAAGGGAAGAAAGAAGGAAATCGCAACACATTCGCCATTGATTACGATTCTTGGCCATATCCGATAACGTTTCGAGCCATCGATTTGAGCTATCTCTCGGACCCCAACCAGGGAGTCGTGACACACCAACCGATGCTAATCTAGCACAAAAATCCTTCATCCCACGACGCCACGTCATGGACTGACCACCTCTCCGCCTTTTCCATCCCGTCCCAGGGCTAGCGAACAGAGACCTGTACGGAAGCCTCTGGGGTGACATTCGCAGCACATGTCCAAGCCACCGGAGCCGGTGTTTCCAGATGACGACATTCAATGAATGGTGATCTCCACTTTGTTCAAACACACGCCGCCGAACCTCAGAATTACTCACGCGATGATGCCATCGAACGCAAGCAATCCTGCGGAGACAGCGGTGATCGAACACGCAGAGTCGCCGCACATCCTCAGCTCGGAGAGGCCAGGTTTCACAGGCGTAGAGCAGCGCAGCCCGCACCGAAGCATTGTATACCCGACCTTTGACAGCCAGGCTAACGTCGCGACGGCGCCAGAGGTGGCTCAAGTTGATGTATGCCACCCTAGCCTTCATTATACGGTTGGAAATCTCATCCGTCACCCCTCCGCCAGCACTCACACAACTACCCAGGTACACAAACTTATCAACAACTTCAAGCGGTTCACCCGCAAGAGTGAGTGCAGGTACAGGCTCCTGCCAATCTTGTAACAGTACTTTGCACTTAGACGGCGCAAAGCACATACCATACTTACAGACACTGATCGCCAACTGATTAAGTGCGATTTGGGCAGCCTGCATGCTATCGCACAGTAAGACGATATCGTCTGCATACTCGAGGTCGAAAAGTCTATCTCCAGGTAGCAGATCTACACCACCTTCACGCACATCCTTCAGAGCTGACTCCAGAATGTCATCGATGGCAAAGTTAAAGAGAAATGGAGAGATTGGGCAACCCTGTCTAACCCCACTGTTGGTTGGGAACAGTGGTGATAGTTGGTTGTATGCCCTCACTCTACCTGAGGTGTTTCTGTATAGGGCTTTCAAGATGTTAACAAATTTCTCAGGTACACCTCTCTCTAACAGACAGTTCCAGAGCACAGTTCTGTCCAACGAATCGAAGGCAGCCCTAATATCAAGAAACACAACGATCGTTGGCCTGCAATACGTGTGGCGGTGTTCCAACAACTGACGAAGGGTGAACACATGATCAATGCATCCACGACCTGAACGAAACCCAGCCTGCTCTTCGCGAATCAATCCTTCACGTATTTTGCACAGTCTGCGAAGCAAGACAGCAGCCAATATTTTAGACGCGACTGGTAACAGACTGATACCCCTATGATTGTCACACGAATTACGTCGACCCTTTTTAAAGATGGGGACGATAATGGCTTCGTTCCACATTGATGGTACACTCTCTGTCTCCCACACCTTCCTGAACAACCCAGTTAGAGCCATTGTGAGAGTCTCGCCACCATCTTTAAAAAGAGCCGGGGGTAATTTGTCTGGGCCGGGCGCCTTATGGCGTTTCAGAACTTGGAGTTCCTTACGGACCTCCGCTTCGGTGGGTGGGTCGGTACTAACCGACCAAGGAGCACTCGGGCTAATGATAGTAGACACTGAAGCTGGTGGCCAGCTGAACTGCTTCCCGAAGTGCTCTGCCCAGCGTTCCAGGCGTCTTTTCAGGCTGGTAATTGGAGTGCCATCTGCCTCACAGACCGTCTCGCTGACACCTTGTTTCTTGCTGCCGGTGGCTCGTATGAGTTGGAACAGCTTCCGACTGTTGCCAGATGCAGCAGCTGACTCCATCTCACACGCACGTTCTGACCACCAGGCTTCGCGGTCCTTACGTAAACACTGTCTAATCTTGCGCGTGAGCGCCTTTCGCTGATTGTTGTATTCGCTGCCAGCCGGAATGGACCGGCGTTCATCCATGAGTTGCAAGGAACTCGCAGAAACCCAGTGGTTGTTAGCGGAGCATTCTTTCAAGCCGCAAGCGGCTACACTCGCCTTTTGCATGGCACCTTGCACATGAAGCCAATGTTCATCTATACTACTTGGGGGGTTGCTGGCAAGCATTGTTTTTAACTCATTCTGATATTTCAAAGAAGTAGCAGGTGCTACTAGTTTGCTCACATCAACGCTTAGACGACGGCTTTTACGAACCCCACCAAATCGCAAGACGAACTTGGCACACACTAACGCATGATCGGAGTCCAGGCATGTGCTCCAGAAGGAGCGACAGTCTTGTATGCATCCTCGCCACCGGAAACTGACCGCGATATGATCAATCTGAGTCCAAGCTTGCTTCGCAGAGGGAGGACGCCAGGTAGCGCTACGGCGATGGCTGTGCCGGAAGTTGGTGCTAGCTAGAAATAGGTTGTGATCCGCGCAAAGCTGCAGAAGACGGTCCCCATTATCTGACCTGCGACCATGTAGTCCCCACTGACCACCTAGACGATTCTCCTCTGAGCTTAGACGCCCCACCTGTGCATTCAAGTCCCCAGCCAGCACTACGATATCCCTCCGACCCGCCTGTTTCAAGAGATCGCTCAGTTGGTAGTAAAACTCATCCTTCATTGCATCCGGGCTGCAATCCGTCGGTGCATAGGCAGAGACAACAAATAGACACCGCCTATCTGGCCTACTACTCCTTACTTTCGTATAACCTTCCAGCCTCACAGCACATAAACGACTGTTAATGGGAATCCAGTCGAGCAGTGCAGCTTCGGCTCTAGCGCTCAGTGCGACACCGACACCAGCTACGCCGGATGCCGACGCCACAGGGTCCCCGGATAAGCGCAGGTGGTACATACTACTAGAACTTCCAGATGGAGAGGATAGTCGAAGCACTTCACTGGGATCTTGAATGCGGGTCTCCGAAATGCAGCAGACATCGATAGCGAGGCTTTCCAAAGTTCTTGCCAACCCTGCCTGTTGTCCGATTTGCATCAGCGTCCGAACATTGTAGGTAGCCAGCTTGAACGCAGCACGCGGTTTCAGGATATCTGTGTTAGATGTCACATTGGGAACAACCATTTTGAGGACTACTCACTAACATCTCGAAACGACACGGATAGGCTGGGAATCTCGACAAAGGCGAAAGGCTGTCGAAGGTTAAAAAGCCAAGGTTAGCAAAGGTAAAATACAGGAAACTATGTATAAAAATAAAAGTAAGGTAGGAAGAAAATGAGTTGCTTGAGGGATCATTATTGCTTGAAATCATTTTACTAGCGCGCGTTGAGTTTCAGTGAGAGTTCGTTGCTTTAATTCATTCATTCAGGAAATATGGCAAGTGTTGGAAATTAACAAGGAACTTTTGTCTTCTAAAGTCTATCGAAGAGTGAATATTTTAGTGATGCATTTCATCCAAAGTCAATAGTAGCCCAGTTCCTCGAGTTTACTTCCCTGAACTCTATTTTATGAAGCTGCCCCACAGTTAATTGTTTACGAAAAACAAAAATAACATTTGTAAAAGAAAAGCACTATTATGTGACTACCCAAGTACACCACAGATGTTCTAATTGACTTAACCCCAACTCACTTCAGTGACTCATGGATTGACTTGTTACCATCAGGGAATAATCTCGACTCAGAATATGCAAATGATATAGTCTTTCTAGGTGAAGACGCTGACAAAATGCAGAGTCTTCTGAACACCTAAGATTACAATCTACGAATGAATGGCATGCGATTCGGTCCCTTTGTCAAATGTTAGATAATACTACAGGACTAGACTACATCAGCTGCTAGCTTAGAAATAGGGAGTGAAGTGGTAAAGCGTGTCGACCACTTCAGTTATTTAGGAAGTTGTATCAGCTCCAACAAGTTGATTGCTGAGGAAATCTCAGAACGGATAAAGAAGGCTCGATTCGCATACACCAGTTTACGCCATCTCTGGCGTAGACGTGATATACGGCTATCAACCAAAGGGCAGGTGTAATGCACAGTAGTCCGCTTTGTTCTCCTTTACTGCTGTGAAACCTGACCATAGAGAGTGGAGGACATGCAACACCTGACTAGCTGTCTTTGATCATAGATACCTACGTCCTATCTCCCATGTGAAATGCTATGATAGAGTGAGCGATATTGGGGTTAGGCGTCGAGTGCTAGGTAAGGTGGGGAAATCAATCGACGAGGTTGTGAAGAATCTGAATCGACTGAGATAGTTAGGACATGTGTTACGTATCCCTAGTCGTCGTCTTCCCCGATGGGTAATATTAAATGACACAGGGTTAGGTTGGAAAAGAACCAGTGGTCGTCAAACGAAAACATGACTTCATTGGTCAGTGAAATCCACAACAGATAGTTTAAGTCAACCAGTCATGTAAGGAGGTGTAGACTTTTTGGCTGGTTGGGGTCCTCGGGACGATAACAGCCGATGGTTGGAAACAATCGGTGATATGGTTCAAAATCGTTCTCAATGCATAGTGCAGATGCATCCACTTCTTGTGACAATATCTAATGAAACTATATTGTTCTTCAATATTACTATTGTTTTTGTCTTACATCTCTGTTTACTGTCTCTATTCTGCATTTCTTTTTACTATCTTCTCGTGCTCTGTGTGCTACATGGAGTGTGGCGACTTGAACTGCTGCATATCAGTGCAAAGTTCTACGCTGAAACCAGTCAGTCAGTCCAACGCATCACACTTTATATCGCTATATGTGTTACGAATTGGACAAAGATAATTTGGAAGCATATTAATCAAAATCCTAGATAAGCTATAAGACAAAAGAAAAGGCAAATCAAATACAGAAAACTGATGTTAAAAGAAAGTCAGAGATAAAACCTGAATTCACCAAGCATAGGTTCAAGTTATCCGACTGAGCCCAGCGAGGTAATATACACCTAGCTATACTGCTTTGACCACCAGCCAATGACTTAATAGACTAATACCAAGTTAAGGTCTCTAAATTATCTGCTTTTTTCAAATTAGTCCTTTTCCCATTACAGTGGCGTTCCGAGGTGTACGGCTTATAACGGGTCCCAATTACTTTTCCTAATGATAGTCTATAGTTCTGACTGACTACTGACTTATGTAACTTAAATAGTTCCCTGTGCTTATTCATTGCATCGAGATTATAATAGGTGCACAAAGTGTGAGCCATATCACGAACGTAAAGCTTTTGAAACACATTGCGTGTACGCAAACGCGGATAGCACATGAGCCAGTTGACGTCCCCAACCATATTTAAAAAACCAGACGCCACTACACCTCATATCGATAAATTTCAAAACATAAAACAGTTTTTGTCAGCAGCTTAGTTACACCATGCTTGACAGCATATATTATTTTCCTGGGGTAAAAGTTTTATGCATATTCTTTTCGACTAAAACTTGCCTCTTGCAAAATAATCAGTTTACTAAGGCTAAAAATATCATCAAAAATATTTATCATCAAAAGCCTAATGAAAGCAAAATGAGAAGAAACGCTAGTGATGAGGTTAAAAACGAACAAATGAATTACTGGAGAACTGACCTTGAAGAAGCACCCGAGACCAAATACAGCGCTTAATACCGGATAATATCAAATATATCCAATATAGCAAAATTTTAACCAAAGTGACGTATTATTTCAGCCCAATATAGCTTCCACACGCCAGTTTATTGCGAAATGTATCATTTGTACTTGCTTCACGCTTTTAAGATAGGATTCCCTAATTATTGGTAAGGTTCTGTGGAATCAGTATCATCGCTTGTCTGGTGAAGCTCTGGTGGACTCCAATCGACTGTCCATCTAAGATATTTAGTTTTGACTCATGGAGAATTCCCATTGTAACATTTAGAAAATCAAAACAAGTGATTCAGCGAAGAGACACTTTTCAACGAATTTATCTTCAAGCTGTACAGTCGTATATATATGGTTTTTAATAAGTTATATCCGGTGAGGAAATTGAATCTTAGGTGTGAATGCATAAAATAATAATAATAATCATATGAAGTTCAATTAAAACTAAAATGTTTGTGATTATAATCGCAGTTAAATGTCAAGTGGCAAAGCACAATGTTTAAAATTTTAAATAATGACTACGGACCTGACCTATTCTCTCTTTTCCTTCCCACCAGGTCGGAACACCTTAGAGGACATAGCAGGAGAGTTCAAAAGCCAAGGAGAAATCATATTGCTGTTGAGTACTGGTTCTCACATCGAGTCATAAACTCTTGGAACCGACTCCCAGAAGAAGTGGTGTCTGCAACCTCAATTGATTCGTTCAAGAAGGGTTTGGACAACCACAGAAATCTACTACAAAAGGATTAACATAGGCTGCAAGCCTTCTATCCTCAAACAATAAATCTGGATCTGAAATCTGAAAGCAGATTAATGTCATATATAGAATAATTCATAGGAGGGATAGAACTTGAAAAATGATGTGCAATTATAGGATTAGTAGACAAATCGAATAAAACAAAAAACGTTACGTAATATTGTGTGAAATTTAATAGCATAGAATTTATCGTTGTAAAAAACAATTGATTTAGAATGACAAGTGGAACAAGTGAAACAATATCGGGGACAGTTCAAAGTGAGAATAGTAATAATAACAATTGACTTAATAAGGAAGAGTACACAAATTGAATAGACAAAATGAAAAATGAAAAACTAGTAGAGATAAAATATGATTGGGGATTACCATATTTTAGCATAGAGAGATTAAGACCATGAAATCTGGAGGGGTTGAACGAACTTTTTCCGTACACACAGATCTGGCTTTTCTGTTTCGATAGCCAAAGCTTCAGCAATACAAATGAGTCGGGTACGTAGGGATTTGGGTAGATTGCTCTTTGCCTTGTAGATGACTTTAAAGGCGGAGACTATAGAGATAAGATGATCATTATCGACCAGATGTTCTATGATCGCGCTTCTTATTGCTCCACTTCCACCTTTTCGTAGCCATGCAGGATAATGTTCTTGCACCCTTTTGGACAAAACTCCAGTCGAACGACCGATATACCTAGCTCCACAAGAGCAGGTGAATTGATAAACGCACATAGAGTTGGTCAACATTGGGATCTTGTCTTTCAGGTTATTGAACAATAAAGGTCGGCTAGTAAAAGCTATTCTCAGAGAAGCAGAGGGCAATGTTCTGTTCAGGGCTGTGATATCCTTCTTTTCATGATATCGGAAGCTAAGATAGGGCCACAGGATTGTTAGTAGCACTTCTGTTTGGAAATTAGTGGTGAAAGTAAGACCATAAAAACACAACAAATTTTAAAATAATGACAATAATGATATTGGTTTTTGTTGCGCCGATTCTTTAAAGAAGTTTGAACTCTGAATAATTGGATAATTTTTTTTATTTTCATTTGGACGTATTTCCACTCCTTGCGGATTTTACTTATTTGAGGTAATTTTCATATTTTACTGGTTTACAGATAAAACAACATATGAGATGACATTTGGAATTCCTCAGGCGAATTCTTTTGTCAATTTAATATAATTAAAGGCGAAAAAAGAACGTTCCCTTAGCAATTTTATCGTGTCACTTGGTGCAGAAAACGACATAATGTGTTGTAAATAATTTTATCTACTTTTAGGGTAGAAACTTACGTAAATTATTATTCTGCGTGAACTGCGTATAAAAAAGTGCGTTACACCTCTCATAGATTGTTTCGACGACTCGAAGTGATTTGTTAGTAGCAAATATAGTCACTTTGTCATGTCTAAAATAAAAAGTAGAACTGGTATGCCGGCTTTATTTGATGAGAAATATTGGAACTTTCAACAGGCAGTCTCCAGGTGGGCGTTTTGGGCTTATGTGATTGTTCCGTACGTTTTATCGACTGAAAACAGCAGTGTATGTATTTTGCATATGTTTGCTGCTAGCAGCAATTAGCCTTCTCTCTTTCAGATGTATGAGATGCTTTTGAACGCCCTATGTTTAATTTTCACTCAGTTAATACGCTTCGGAATAAACAAATATACGAATCAGTGGCCGACACATGTGTAAAACTACACAGGTATACATTTGTGGCAGGTCGTCATTTATGTTCGTTAGTTCTGAGGAGATTATGCGTATAAGTGGTTTGCATCCCTACACATATCACTATATGAACGTGGTTCTTTAGAATGATAAATTTGTAATATTCATGGATAATCCCCATCCAGGCATTAATGAAAACAAAACACGTAGATCAGCGAAGAGTCTCTTTTCGGCGAATTCATTTTCTTAGCTGTACAATCGCAAATATATATGCATTGTTTTGTATGTATGTGTACATTAAGTTTGTCAAACAAAGTTACAATTGGTTAAGGTTACTTTTAACTAAACAAGTGGAGGATGGTAATACAGGTCAAGAAAATTAAGTGCTAATGAAACTAGGGTAGTAAAAAAATGATGAGTTGTCACAAACAGTTGTAATAATAATAGTGAGTTTTACTCAGGATGCACATAGAAACAAAGTAGATAATGCGAAACTATGTAAGAGATCTAAGTGGATACAAGAATTATAATTGCTTAAGGTTATTTTAACTAAACAGGTAAAGGTTGGTAATATAAGTCAAGACCATTAAGTGCTAGGGTAGTAACAAAGGTGATGAGTTGTCACAAACAGTTGTTAAAAGAAGTTATGCAATAATAATATGAATAGTTTGATGAGTGAGTTTTACTCAGGATGCACATAGAAACAAAGTAGATAATACGAAACTATGTAAGAGATTTAAGTGAATACAAGAATTATAAGCAATTAAGGAACAGGCGAAGAAACAAAATTAAGTCATCAAAATAAAATAAAAGCTCAAAACAAATCAAAACATTGTTACCATGAGAGTAGAAGTGGTTGAGTAATCTTCTTTTGTATGCACAGCTCCGGTTTTTCCATGTGAATGGCCAGAGCTTCAGCGATGCAAAGGAGACGAAACCGTATTGCCTTTGATATGTTATTCTTGACTCTGTAGATTACTTTGAAGGAGGCGTTCGTTGAAATGCAATGATCAGTGTTGACCAGGTGTTCAATTATCGCACTCCTTATTGCACCAGTATTGCCTTTTCGCAACCATGCTGGATAATGTTCTTGAATTCTCTTGGACAGGATGCGCGTCGAACGACCGATGTACCTGGCTCCACAGCAGCAGGTGAACTGGTATATGCACATAGAAGTGGCCAGATGCGGGATCTTGTCCTTGAGGCTTCTGCAGATCAGTGGGCGACTGGAGAACACTATTCGTAGCGTTGCTGCAAAGAACGTTCTTCTCAGAGATGATGTGATCCTTCTCTTGAGAATATCGCTTGCTAAATCTCCCTTGAAATCCAAATTCATGTAGATTTTCTTTTTAGGCACAGTTAAAGTTTCGTTTTTCCGAATTATTGGTTTCATATTTTTGTCGATAAATCTTATTGGGTATCCATTTTGGATGAATATTTCTCTCAGAATATCTAATTCTGTTTCCAGAACGTCGGGACTACAGATGCGTCGGATGCGGGTAGCAAGTGATTTAATTAAGTTTCGCTTTTGTTGAATGGGCACCCAGCTATAGAAGCTTGTTAGTTGACCATTCCACGTAGGTTTTCTATGGATTGATCTTCTTAGGCTCCCATCAGCTCTTCTTGTCAGTTCCACATCAAGAAACGGAATTTTTGACTCGTTTTCCATTTCAAGAGTGAATTTTATTGCTGGATGGCAATTGTTAAATGTCTTCAGCAGCAGATTGGGGTCGTTGTTGTTGTCACAAATAATGAAAATGTCATCCACGTATCTTTTATACAGTCGCAAATTGTCGATGCTTGGCTTTAGTGAACCTCTCTCGAGGCTTGCCACGAAGCAATCTGATAGTAGTGGACCCAACGGAGATCCCATTGCAATACCATCCTTTTGTCTGTAGATGGTGTCGTTGAATGTGAACTGGACGTTCAGAGTGCATCTCAATAATAGTTCTTTCAAGTATGTTGTCGGTATTCCAATATCGAGGTGGTTGTCATCTATATATCTGCATATGAAGCAGACCGTTTCTGTGAGTGGGACATTGGTGAAAAGTGACTCGATGTCGAAGGACAGCATAATTTTGTTAGATACATTCGTGTCTTGTATGCACTCGATGAACTGGAAGGTGTCACGGAGCGAGTACGTACATAATTGCTTCCTTACAGGTTCCAGAATATCTGCTAGCCATTGTGCAATAGAGTGGTAAGGGGAACCTGACATATCCAGAATTGGACGAAGTGGGAGACCAACCTTGTGTACCTTTGGTAGACCATAAAGTCTTGGTATTATTGAACCTGTTGGCCGGATCTGATCGTAGATATCCCCACTGATTAGTTGACTAGCCTTCATTCTCTTCAAGACATCTGTGAGCTGCTTCTCAATCTGTTCCGTCTTGTTTCTTTCATTGGAAGGTTGGGAAAATTTGTCTTCATTCGACAGTATATCGTTCATTTTCTCGATGTAGTCTCTTCGATTCAGAAGCACTACACCCGCACCCTTGTCGGGTCGAGTTATAAGTAGATCTTTGTTATCTCTCAGCTGTTTTAATTCCTCTCGGTGCCGCTTCGTTAGGTGGTTGCGGACTTTTGATTTTGAATTCAAGTATTGGTGGCAGCAGTCCATGATTGTTGACTTGAATCTCTGTAATTCGTCTTCAGAAGTTGGGCTGAGATCGTGCGTTTGGCTGATTAGATTTTCAAACTGGACCTGAGTATGGAGTTTGTCGGAGTTGAAATTTATATCGCAGAATTTAGGGCCCAGAGATAGGACTTCCAGTTGCACGTCGGTTAAATGTACTGAGGAATAATTGAACACAAACTTCGTGGGTTCGTCAGGAAATTTGCCTTGAGGTTTCATCTGCTTAAGGCTGTTGTTGAGCTGGGTTACGACAGACTGCGACCGTTTATTCGCAACCAAGTCGATATATTCGGTGAATCTTTGACGTTCATCCGAAGTCAATTCGTATAAGGCAGAGGACCTCTGATTGATATTCCGCTGCAGTTCGGGCATACGTGATCTGATAGAATCAGCACAATTCATTGCATGGCGTTGAAGGGACTTCGTATTTGGATATATATGATTGCGTCGCAGTGCTTTCCAGAACCACTTTGGATACTGATGATTGGAGACGCAATCCTCGAAAAAGCCAACTTTCGCTTTCCCCACAGCAAGCTTGACAGAGTACCGCAGAAACCCATTGAGTTCCTTGACTGTCGAGGGGTCCTTGCTACGTTTCAATTCATGGATAATCCCCATCCAGGCATTAATGAAAACAAAACACGTAGATCAGCGAAGAGTCTCTTTTCGGCGAATTCATTTTCTTAGCTGTACAATCGCAAATATATATGCATTGTTTTGTATGTATGTGTACATTAAGTTTGTCAAACAAAGTTACAATTGGTTAAGGTTACTTTTAACTAAACAAGTGGAAGTTGGTAATACAGGTCAAGAAAATTAAGTGCTAATGAAACTAGGGTAGTAAAAAAATGATGAGTTGTCACAAACAGTTGTAATAATAATAGTGAGTTTTACTCAGGATGCACATAGAAACAAAGTAGATAATACGAAACTATGTAAGAGATCTAAGTGGATACAAGAATTATAATTGCTTAAGGTTATTTTAACTAAACAGGTAAAGGTTGGTAATCTAAGTCAAGACCATTAAGTGCTAGGGTAGTAACAAAGGTGATGAGTTGTCACAAACAGTTGTTAAAAGAAGTTATGCAATAATAATATGAATAGTTTGGTGAGTGAGTTTTACTCAGGATGCACATAGAAACAAAGTAGAGCTGATGGGAGCCTGAGAAGATCGATCCATAGAAAACCTACGTGGAATGGTCAACTAACAAGCTTCTATAGCTGGGTGCCCATTCAACAAAAGCGAAACTTAATTAAATCACTTGCTACCCGCATCCGACGCATCTGTAGTCCCGACGTTCTGGAAACAGAATTAGATATTCTGAGAGAAATATTCATCCAAAATGGATACCCAATAAGATTTATCGACAAAAATATGAAACCAATAATTCGGAAAAACGAAACTTTAACTGTGCCTAAAAAGAAAATCTACATGAATTTGGATTTCAAGGGAGATTTAGCAAGCGATATTCTCAAGAGAAGGATCACATCATCTCTGAGAAGAACGTTCTTTGCAGCAACGCTACGAATAGTGTTCTCCAGTCGCCCACTGATCTGCAGAAGCCTCAAGGACAAGATCCCGCATCTGGCCACTTCTATGTGCATATACCAGTTCACCTGCTGCTGTGGAGCCAGGTACATCGGTCGTTCGACGCGCATCCTGTCCAAGAGAATTCAAGAACATTATCCAGCATGGTTGCGAAAAGGCAATACTGGTGCAATAAGGAGTGCGATAATTGAACACCTGGTCAACACTGATCATTGCATTTCAACGAACGCCTCCTTCAAAGTAATCTACAGAGTCAAGAATAACATATCAAAGGCAATACGGTTTCGTCTCCTTTGCATCGCTGAAGCTCTGGCCATTCACATGGAAAAACCGGAGCTGTGCATACAAAAGAAGATTACTCAACCACTTCTACTCTCATGGTAACAATGTTTTGATTTGTTTTGAGCTTTTATTTTATTTTGATGACTTAATTTTGTTTCTTCGCCTGTTCCTTAATTGCTTATAATTCTTGTATTCACTTAAATCTCTTACATAGT